AATACTTTTTACGTAATTTTTAAATATATAACATGCTAAAAAGAGAAATAAAATAAACAAATTAAAATGCAGAAGGTTCAAAATAAATGATCAATGATATGTAAATGAACCACAAAACTGTAAAAAAAATTGAAGTGGTTGGCATAGTATTTAGCGGCAAAGAGTAAAAAAAATTGCATACAATTTAATTGTTGTTCTTTACGTGTTAATTAGAGAAGCACATATTTAACGGTTGAGATAGAAGCAACTAAAATGGCAAAATTGTCCGAATGATGGTACATACATGTTGATGGAGTGTTGTGTGATTATCCACACTTATATATTAGTAGTAGATTTGCACCCCCAACCTTTTTATTTTGTTGAAAAAAATGAAACATATTCTTAAGAAATCACAAGAACAAAATATTAATAAATATACAATTAAAAATTATAATTTCTTAAAACTTTCCTCATAGTTATCCGAAACAACTCTCCTTGCAAGATCAATAATAATATCTGAATAAACCTAATTTTCAAAATCATAACATTTGGAAATTTTGTGAATGAAGCAAATGTGTAGAAATTTTAAAGAACCTGATTTAGATGCACAGAACAATCAAATGAAGTTTAGCAAGGAGTTGGATACTCAATTACTCTTTGATACCATTAGAGTATATATATACTCTGATGCCATCAGAGAGGAACATACAGTGTAGTGAAAAACTGTCCAATTATTATTTGATACCATCAGACTCTATTATATACTCTGATGGTATCAAGGATGAAAAAGTCGCGATTCAGTGAATAGAACAAGAAGGCAATTGGATAAATAGTTTGAGTCGTGGCTCCAATCAGAATAAATATATTGAATTAGGTCCAATTTAGATAAATATTTTACCGAATGAGTTCAATTTATATAGTTTCCCTCTTTTTATCTATATTTTTAAAAAAAAACAGCACTAAAAAAAAGATATCAAACAAATAACCATGTCATATGATATAACTTCTGATAGTTTTTTTATACTCTCTAAGAAAAGAAGGCACAATTACTGAATGCATTTAAAATTTTGATGAAGACATGTAGATAGTTACTTCCTTCAATTAAACATTGAAATTAAAGAACTAACACATAAATAATTTAGTAAGTTTTTCTTATAAATGTTAATCAAGAAATATGATGTTAAATTTTGTTCTCATTTCAAAATTGAGGTGGAGTCAATAGGAGAAACATGATACACACTCACACTTAGGTGCAACTAATCATTTCAACTTCAAATAGTAGAAACATGATACATACTATTATTGACTCATGATAAACACACCTCAATTAATAAGAATCACTCTTCTCTTTCCCTCTTTATTATTGTAGTTTGATTAATTGATTTGTAGTACTATCACATTATTTTTATAAATTTTGTATAATAAAAAAATCAATTAGACTTGAATTAATTATTTTACTTTGATCTCAATCTTATAAATATTTGGTTAACCTAGTAAATAAATTTTAGATTGAATAACATCACTATGAGTTTGTTTTGTTGCCAAATTAAGAGCTAGTTTTTTGGCTAAAAACATCCTTAAACTATACCCTCAACTTAAACTACATCCTTAAATTATTTTTCTTAACAAAAAACATCCTCCAAGTATTTAAAACTTAACAACTTCCATCCCTCTATTAAAATTTGTCAAAAAATTAGTGAATTCCACACAAAACATATGTAATTCATACTATTCTCATAAAAAAAAATCTATAATTTTATTACTTGTTGGAAAAAGCTTCCAAAAATTAATAATTTTTTTGAGACCATTGTTTGCTCTTTAAAAAAAAAAAAAGTTAGGACGGTGTGAGTCTATGAGGAGACATGATCTGCTTTTCTCCTTTACCAATTGAATGGAGTTGGAGCTTAATTTTACATCATCTTCATCTTGCAAAGTCAAAATGTCGTTAGATCAATATTTTTTTGGGACAAACTGATAGTTGGGGTAATCAAGATTCAGCTAACTTTGATCTCTAGTACTCAAGTTTCGTTTTCCATTATTAGAAGTAAAAGTCTCCGATCGACACCACTTTTTGCAGATTCAATGAGAAGAAAACATTTCAACGGATAATTTTTTGATATAAAATCAAAATGAAAAGTAAATAAAAACAAAATTGTTAATTAAAAGGAAGACAATGCAAAACGTTGTTGATAAAAAAAAATCACAATATTTTATTTTAGATGTATGTAGAATGAACAAAATTGGTTTATTGAGGGTGATTTAGGGAGCTTTGTTGAGAGTAGTGTGAACTGTACATGTTTTTATGAAGAATTTGTTAATTTTTGACAAATTTTAACAAAAGTATGAAAGTTGTCAAATTTTAAATAATTGAGGAATGTTTTATGTTAAGAAAAATAATTTGAGGATGTATTTTATGTTGGGGATATAGTTTAACAGTAATAATTATCAACAAAAAATTATCTTTAAATTTAAAAAGTATAAATTACTTTTTAATTTAAGATTATCATAAAAACGTGGTGCATTGAAGCGAATTGCTTTTTTCTTAATCAGAAGTCTTAATTTCGAGCTCTAGTATAAGAAAAATCTTGGTGGGGTTCGTTTCCCCTAATATACCTTTCACAATAAGAATCTGTGTTAATCCAACTCTAATACGAGTACCGGATATTGAACGAAAAATTAAATTAAAAAAAGAATGAAAAAAATTTCATTTATTTATTGTCTCTATTGCACCACATGATTTATTGTTATATATAATATTATATATTATTTATTTCAAAATTAATTTTTGTCATACAATTGTAGCATAATTAGATTTAGAGGGTAGAGTAAATGTCCTTTACATATTTTAGGAGAAAAAGTATGTATATTCCGAATTGAAAATCTTTTATTTTATCATAGATTTTGAAAAAAAAAATTAGATTTTTTATATTTAAATTACAAAATGTGATTTTTGAAAATTTGAATTAGTATTTGGATGTGAATCTCACTTAGAAAAAAAATATAAAGTCCAGTTAAGAGAAAGTCTCAACTATCGTCAAACATTGTCACGCTCCAACTTATCGGGACATGCAACACTCCCTCTAACACCTAGATAAACATTAAGACCACGGAAGTAAGCAAAATTCAATTTATCACGTTGTTTTAAATACAAAATGACTTTTAATTCTTATAACAATAAAATGTCCCTGAAAATACACAGAATCCTCCTTAGAACTAATCTAAACATGTACAAGAGCTTCTAAGAGAATGCAATATCTGAAAATAATAATACACAACTCCAACAGAAAGAGACGTAAAAATTGTCGGAGATCATCGTCGTCTTCACTTAAGAAACCTCACTAATACTGCAACTAGACTATGCCAAGTGGCATAACAAGAGTAGTACATAACAAATAACACGTAATGATAGGCATCATCTATCAACTCGAATCCACCATATAATATCATGTAAATAATCAAAGGAAACGTGAAACTTAAAAATATAATTATAATTTCAATCATTGAATCACCACCCCTGCTATCATGTAATACTACCTTTGAATTCATACATTCCAACTCAAGTCAACCCACCTCATTTCCGCTGTCAACTCCACCATCTAGACCATTCCACCCTCCTATCTCATCATAGCCTAACCCTTTTATCACATAAAGATTTTTTGAAACTACTCACTCTACCAACTTTAGCACTCCCCTATTATTTCCATTCATGAATCCAAATCTACCACTAACTTTGTTAACCGGTCTACTATCCTCAATTAGGATCTTGTGCCAACAATAACCGGTCTACAAAATTTTCAAGTAGTTTGGACTATCCAGGATCCCTAAAATATTACCTATGGTGTTTAAACTACAATCCAAGTCTTCACATAAACCTCTTCAAACATTTAAACACAAAATTTTCAGCATTCATGGATCAACATGTAACAAATATAATACGAAGTGTAAAATTCGATTCACTCATAGAACGAACACATATGAACAATAAAACATGTACCACTTGTGGTATCCGATTCGATCGATATTGAACCAATACCAGACGTGATATCCGGATCAATCGATAAATATTTCACATCAGACATGGTATTCAAGTCAATCGATAATATGTACCACACGTAATATCCGAGTCAATTAAGAGATATCAAGTACCAGACATGGTAATCGAGCCAATCAATAATATGCACCAGGCGTTGTATAACCTGAGCCAATTGAGAGATATTCAGTACTAGATGTGGTACACAAACCAATTAATAATATGTACCATGTGTGGTACCTGAGTCAACCGAGTATCACACAACACACAATCACAATGAGTACAATCACATTTGTAAAACACAATCAAATAGGACAAGTTCATTGCATGAGATCATCACCAAGCTATCATTTCAGTTTAATCCTTCTCATCTCCCTAATAACCACGTATTGTACAAGTAATACTACCGAAGTCGTTGACATATACATACAATGTAAACGGAAAATAAAATCTACCATCACCTACCCGAAACGAGTCTTCTTATACAATTTTCAACTCAGAGTCTAGTTACTCATAGGTTACCAATCCTAGGATAATACTTAATAATTATCATAACGTCAAGGCGATACAATCTTGGTCTTCACAAGAACCCTTCAACACTTAAACACAAAGTTCTTGCCATGGATCAACATGTAATAATTATATTATGAAGAGTAAAACCTGATTCACTCATAGAACGAACATGCAGATGAACAATCAAACATGTAGCAGGCATAATATCCAGCCAATGTTATATAACATATATTAGGAGTGGTATCCGAGCCAATCGATAGATATGCTATAACTGACGTGGTACTTGAACAAATTGATAATATGTACCAAGTGTGATACCCGAGCCCAGTGGCGGAGGGAGGATTTTCATCAAGGGAGTTCAAAAAAAAATTAATCACGTAAATAATATCCACAAATAAATGGGTCGAATCGGATATAAATGGGTCGGATAAAAATAAAATAATTTAGAGCACATATATCTAGAAACTTAAATAGATCATTACAATTGTACTTTACGAGTTTTCATATCTTGAAATGTCTTAATTATAGCATCATTAGGAATACTATCAAATACATCTTTATCTACAAAAGGCACCAAACAACCACTAAAAAAATCACCACTCATTTGACTTCGCAAGTCATTCTTGATAAACTTCATTGCCGAGAAAGCTCTTTCAACGGATGCACTGGCAACTGGTAGAAGTAGAGAAAATTTCACTAAGCGGAACACCAAAGAATAATTTGAATGTTTTTTTTATTTGGACTAATCTTTTGGAAAGATCACAAAGTCCATTTAGATCAGAGAACCTTTCATCAACATCACAAACATCAACAATGTAACTTGCAAGTTGATTCTCAAGAGTATCTATATTAAATTCATCAAAATCATCTGGATATAATTTAGCCATCCTCATTATTTTTTTGCTGTCAAAACTTGAGAAAGAGTTAATTGGAGTCAAACAAGCAATTCCATGGAGCAAATCAGTAGCTACCTCATTAAAACGATCATTAAGCTCTTGAAGTTGCCAATCAATAATATTGCAAAACACTTCAACACAGTAATGATGTGACTGTATAGTGAGCAAGTCTTCGCCGTGATCTTAAAGAGCTAACATATGGCTCCTCAAAGTTAGGTATCAAAATTTCATTTTGGTACAAATATAAATACCTTAGCAATAAGAGAATTCCATTCATCATCCCTTAAAACTTGCAACCTTTTCTTTGCTACTTCAACAAGTAGCATGGCATTTGCAACATCTTGCTTCTTTCTTTGTAAGCATTTATTGAGCTCATTTGTGATTGCTAATACATCTCTCATCAAATGCAACATGAACACAACCTCAAATGTTTGACAAGATTCAAGATGTCCTGTTGCCTTGGCTCTTTCATCCATACTTCGTGCATCAAGAGCAAGTAATTCAAGAACTTCAAGAATAGAGCCAAACATAAGAATAAAATTGTTAAAGGATTTATAATGAGATCCCCAACAAGTATCACAAGCTTTTGAAAGACCAAGTTGTTTATTCAAGCCCCTACCAGTTGTCAGTTCACCCATATCTAATGCATCTTGAATTGCTACTTTTTAAGAATCTCATAAGTCATACATACGCTTAAAAGAAGATCCCAATACATTAAAAATATTTTATACCAATACTACAAGTTTTTCCACTTCAACACACTTTTTAGAGACCCCAACAAGAGTTAGTTGAAGTTGATGAGCAAAACAATGTATAGAATGAGCCGATCTACTTTCTTGCCTAATCAACATTTTAAGTCAATTGACCTCACCTTGTATATTGCTTTTCCCATCGTAACATTGTCCATGCACACTTGATGGACTCAAAGAATGTTGAGCAAGTAAATTAACAATTGCCTCTTTCAGGGATACTGCACTAGTATCTTGAATATGAATAATGTCAATAAGTCGCTCCATCACAAATCCCAGTCTATCAACATATTGTAATATAATAGCCATTTGCTCTTTGCGTGAAATATCAAAAGATTCATCAACTAGTAAGGCAAAGTAGTCACCATTTAGTTCCTCTAGAATAACTTTAATTGGTTCTATCTTGCATGCAGTCACAATATCTTTTTGAATTATTGGAGAAGTCATTTGATCATTTTGAGGGGCATGTTCAAGTACATAATCACGAATTTTATCACGCTTTTTTGCATACCATGAGAAAATCTGAAGAAAATTATCCCTACTAAGTGATGATTTAGATTCATCATGACCTCGAAATACGAGTCATTGAATTATGAGAAGTCTTACTACATCAACCGAAACACTTAAGCGGATATAATATTCATGTTGAATTTGATTAGATTGCCTCTCAAATACAGATTGAATAGACTGTTGTTGTCGTAGTAAATCTTGACATTTTTTTTTGATCGATTATGTGGGCTATTCGGCAGACCAATATGCTTGTTAAGACCACTCTTTTTATTCCAATTCTTAAATCCTGTACATGAAAATACTTGACCTCCACCTTGATTAATGTTATGATCTTTAAATAGATAGCAATACAAACAATAGGTTGCATCTTTACTAACACTATACTCCAACCAATCATGATATATATTATCAAATCATTCATGATTAAAACGACGCATTGCTCCAGAAATATTTGTTTGAAGGTACTCATGCACCTCCAAGCGAGGTTGACAAGGACCATTCACAAGGTATGCTCTTCTAATAACATCACGATGATTTGAATGGTAATTCAATATTGGAGTTCTTTCACCAGGATCAAACATTAAAGTAATCAAATCAAATTCTTGAGAAGAATGTGATGGTACTTCTGAATGGTTGACATTTTCTTCTTGGTTAGATTGACTATGACTATGAGAGGCTAAACTTGATTTTGATACAGGATGAAATACTTCTTCATTGAATATTAAGACTGAATTGTAAAGTAAAAATTTAGTTAGAATTTAAGAGAATTAAACACACAATAAGAACTATTAAAAAAAAAAAGCACACACACAATAAGGACCAAAACCAAAAAGCTTAAGCAATGGTTATTTGATTATTAAATTATATTTTTCTATCCCTCCAATTTTAGATTAAGAAAATATACAAAATTAGGCAAACAAAAAAATTGAAACTTCAATGATATCAATAAATCAGCCAACTACAAGAAAGCACATCAAGAAATAACGAAATACGGTATATAGAAATCTAGTAAGAAAAAAGGGAACCAAAAACTTATTGAAGTAGTTATTAATGAAGATGAAAGAAACGATTGCGGATAGATCAAGTTTTCAATAACGACCAATCCAACAGAAGGAGCAAGCAACAACGACAAGTAGCAGCCAACATTGACAAGAAGCAACCAATAACGTTCACGGCAGTAAGGAAGAGACGATGAAAAAATAAAACGTGGAAAAATCCTAAAAGAAGAAAAGGGTTTTTTAATATTTGACTTTGTAATTAGGGATTAAACTAATAAATCCTAAATTCCCTATCGCCTCCGTCCGGATTCGAACACGCGACCTCGCGTGCAACATCGCGAATTCTTGAACCCCCAACGCCACTGAGCTACGCCTTTGGTGTATTTTCAGGGGGTTCAATATTATATATATACACATACATTAAAAATTTAATCGTATATATATAGTGTAAATTTTTGACGATGGGGGTTCGGATGAACCCCCATTAGTTCAACGTAAATCCTCCTTTGCCCGAGCCAATCGATCATATGTATCAAACATCGTACCCAAGCTAACCTAGAGATATCTTGTAATAAGCATGGTATCTGAGCCAATCGATAATATGTATCAGACATGGTACCCAAGCCAACCAAGAATCACACATCACATAATCACAATCACACATGTAAAACACTAACAAATATTACAAGTTCATTGCATGAGATTGACAATAAGATAACATTTCAATTTCATCCTTTTTCATTTCCCTAACCACATGTTGTACAAGTGATACTACCGAAATAATTAATATGCACACATAACGTAAATGAGAAACAAATTCAACCATCACCTATCTGAGAAGACTCTTCCTATACAAATTTAAGCTCATAGACGCATAGGTTACCATCCCTAGGATAACATCCAATAACTCTCATAAGGTCATTATTCACTAATCAAGTACCATGCAATCCTAACCAACAATTAATAAATGCATTTATTCGCTTAGACTCTGTGCTTGAGGCCTATGTATGAAATTTCTTCTTAAATTTACAATGTATTAAGCAATCAGAAATAGATTTAACTACTCAGTTAAGCCTAGCCAATCTGGACCCCAAGAAATTGTTGAAGAAATCTAAACACGAACTTCTAATTTTGTGGAGGTGAATCTCAACGAATCTCAACCCCTTTTGCATTGTAATCCTCCATTTCCATTGTTCCCAAGCTTGGAGCACCATAGAAGGGTTTTTGGAGTAACCCTTATCTTTTTTCAATTGAACAATAAGAGTAAAAAAATAAAACCCGTGTTTTCTAGGATTCTCTCGTCAGCCCGCTACAACAACCATGCAATTACTACGCAGCGGTGCCATAACGAAAAAATGTCTGTTGTGATGGAATGACGTGAGCTTGGATCAAATTCAAATTTTAAAAATTTTGTCATATCATCTTGAATTTAATTTGCAACGTATTTTAAAAAAATCAAGATTCCGTGCAGTTGTCTTTTGATTAACAATGAAATATGTAGTTACAAACACTAAAACTACATGGCTCGAACTTGATTGAAGAGTTGCTCAAAGAAGAAAAATGCACATGTCACTCAAATCTAATCAAAGAGATTTTAAAAGATAGTATTTAAATATTGATTCATGACATATGATTACTAACTAAATGACTTGAATTTGATTGAAGAGTTGCCCAAAAAGTAAAATGCACATTTAGTTCAAATCTAATCAAATTTAATGATCAAATAGATTTTAAAAGAAAAATCTTTAAAATATGATCAAATTTAACTATCAAACATATTTTAAAAGTTAAGTCTTTAAAGTCTAATTCATAACCTATGGTTACTTATCAAATAACTCATATTTGCTTGAATAGTTGCTCAAAGAAGGAAAATACACATACCGTTCAAATTTAATTGTCATATTTTTTTTAAAAAAACTGATCAAATTTAATGATCGAATGTATTTAGAAAATAAGTTAAAATCTGGTTCATAACCAATAATCACTAAGTAAATGACTCAAATTTGATTGAAGAGTTGCTCAAACAATTAAAATGCACACATCAAACTAAATGATCAAACAAATTTTGAAAAAGTAAATCTTTAAAATCTAATAAATTTTTTACTCAAAATTATTTTAAGAATAAGTCTTATAATCACTAATCAAACTCGAATTTAATTGAAAAATTGCTCAAAAAAATAAAATGCACACATTATTCAAATATGATCAAATTTAACGATCAATCAAATTTTAAAAGATTAATATTTAAAATTTTAACAAATTTAATAATTAAATATATCTTTAAAAATTATTTTAAGAATAAGTCTCATAATAACTAACCAAACTCGAATTTAATTGAAAAAATTGCTCAAAAAAATAAACTGCACACATTATTAAAATATGATAAAATTTAACGATCAATCCAATTTTAAAAGATTAATCTTTAAAATTTGAACAAATTTAATAATTAAATTATAAAATATAAAATTTGAATCACTAACTAAATAACTCGAATTTAATTGAAAAGTTAACTCCCAAAAAGTAAAATACACACGCCATAAATGTGGGTGCACATGTTTGTGTCATCCCATCTTACAAAACGTGTCAAAGTGAAACTTCTCCTTTTCCTCATTAAATAAAATCCCTTTTATTCTCTTTTTAAATAAATACTCTCACAGAAAAGGCATGCCGACTGTTTCTCATACAAATAATATAATTTAAATTAAAAATAATAAAAATAAGTTAAAAGCTTTTATGACTTAAACCTTGTTTGATTTAATTTTATGTGGTTTTAAGTACTTTTACAACTTTTAAATAATTATAAAAAATCATAAATTAGTATTATAAGTCACGAGTGTTATGTTTATAAGTCACGAGTTATAAGCCCATCGAAACACATTCTTAATACAAGCCCAACCATGGTTATCTATTTAACTCTTTAAAAACCTAAAACCATAGTTTATACAACAAGCAGTTTGGATTTAGAAGAAACATACCCTTATTGCCCTCTTCTCCAATCTCCTATCTTCCCTCTTTTCTTTGCAAAGATAAAAAAAAAAAGATGTTTGAGCAAATTTGAATTTTTTAGTTTGAGGATTTCAAATTCCTCATAAGGTGATAAGAGTTTTTGCTTGCTCCACTGCTTCTTGAACTGCAAAAACTGGTTTGTTTCTCTTTTTATGTTCATTTTTATATCAAAGTTTATATACTTTCTGGGTATTTTGTGTTTATATAGTTAATGGTTACTTGGGGTTTCAAGATTTTGAGATCTGAATGTGGGGTTGTTGAATTTTGGGTATTTAAAGAAGAAAGATTGAATCTTTTTTGAGGATTGAGATAGGTTTTGTTTTGGATTTGATTGAAAAGAGATTGTGTTTTTTTTTTTGAATTTTTTGTGGGGTTTATATCAAATTGGAGGAGAGTTGAAGTTTTTAGCATCTGGGGTTTTGTTAGAAATGACTATGTTGTGGAGTGATGAGGATAAGACTATGGTGGCAGCTGTATTAGGAACAAAAGCTTTTGATTACTTGATGTCTAGTTTAGTTTCTGCTGAATGTTCTTTAATGGCAATGGGGAGTGATGAGAATTTGCAGAATAAGCTGTCAGATCTTGTGGAACGTCCGAATGCAAGTAATTTTAGTTGGAATTACGCCATTTTTTGGCAGATTTCGCGGTCTAAGTTGGGGGAGTTGGTGTTAGGATGGGGAGATGGTTGTTGTAGGGAAGCTAGGGAAGGAGAGGAATCTGAACTTACTAGGATTCTTAATCTACGCCTCGCTGATGAGGCTCAACAAAGAATGAGGAAAAGGGTTCTTCAGAAGTTGCATATGTTTTTTGGTGGAACAGATGAAGATAACTATGTGTTTGGATTGGATAAAGTCACCGATACTGAAATGTTCTTTCTTGCTTCAATGTACTTTTCGTTTCCTCGAGGGCAAGGTGGTCCGGGGAAGTGTTTTA